AAGGTCCGTCGAAGTTGAAAGGCCACCACCTTCTCAACAACCTTCCCTACAAAGGGGAGGTTGGAAACTGGATGATAGTTATTAAGGATAGCTGGGTCCAGGGAAGGCTTCTTAAGAAGAGGTCTTACCACCGCATCCTTCAGAGGGTGCGGGAAAGATCCCTCCTGAAGAGAGGTGTTAACAATCCTCTGGAGCCAGCCTCGTGTCACCTCCCTGCTGGTCGAGACCAGTCAGGAGGGACACAGGTCCAGTAAGCAGGTGGAGGCACTCACTGCTCCCATGGCCTTGTCCACTTCCTCAGGAGCGACAAGTTGAAACTCGCTCCAAGAAATCCGATCAAGGCCCTCCCCTGGCATCTCGGCTGGTACTGTCCAAGTGGAGTCCAGGTTTGTCCGAATCCGAGCGACTTTGTCCGACAGAAACTGAACAATTTCCTCAGCTCTACCCTGTAAGGGCTCGCCCGCATGTGTTTATCAAGCACCATTTCCCATGATAAACACTCTTCTGGGGATGAAGCAGGTTTGAAGTCAAAGACAGTCCCAAGGGATTCAGCTTATGCGAGTTTGAAAATTGTTTTTAATTATGTTTTCATATAATTTTGTAATCATTGCTCAAATAAAACAATGGGCTGACTGATACTTGGATTTAGAATAGAATAGAATAACAGCTGGGAGGAACCTTAGAGGTCTTCTAGTCTAGTTTCCTGCCTAGGCAGGAAAACCTACACCACTTCAGACAAATGGTTATCCAACACCTTCTTAAAAACTTCCAGTGTTGGAGCATTCACAACTTCTGGAGGCAAGCAGTTCCACTGGTTAATTGTTCTAACTGTGGGGAATTTTCTCCTTAGTTCTAAGTTGCTTCTCTCCTTGATTAGTTTCCATCCATTGCTTCTTGTTCTGCCTTCTGGTGCTTTGGAGAATAGCTTGATTCCCTCTTCTTTGTGGAAACCCCTGAGATATTGGAACACTGCTATCATGTCTCCCCTAGTCCTTCTTTTCATTAAATTAGACATACCAGTTCCTGCAACTGTTCTTCATATGTTTTAGCCTCCAATCCCCTAATCATCTTTGTTGCTCTTCTCTGCACTCTTTCCAGTGTCTCCACACCTTTTTTACATTAAATAAACACCACAGGTTAATGTGAAGTGTGAAGTTGTGAGTGCTCCATCACTGGAGATTCCAATGAGAAGAAGAGACTCGGTGGTTCCGTAAAGAGGATCTCTGAGCCTTCCGTGACTGAAATGGAGCTCTGGAGGGGTCAGGCTGTAAAAAAATAAATAACCTAGGATCTTCTATTAACAAAAAGAATCGGTGAATAAGCTAACATCCACCTTCAAAATTATTTTTTGCCCTTGGTCATCATCCCCGTTAAGGCCTCTCCCTTATTTCCGGTGGGCAAAATGATCTGGCTTTAAAACTGCAGAGCTCAAACCTAGATTCTCACCATGGAGTTGATGTTAAGGGGTGATCCAGAAGGCTGAGCAAAGAGCCCAGCCATTGGGGGCAATGATTTGCGTTTGGGTGACACCCCGGAGTTCACACTTGGCGTTCCTGTGGAGGACCGCTTCCTCCGGCCACGCTTCTTCCCATCTTGCATGTATGCCTGGCCACAATCCATCCGGATGCTTGCGGTGAGGGGGCTGTGCTTATTTGATGGAGAATGTTTGAGAGTTCCTGTGGCAGGGGAGATGGTGAAGATGATCCTTCGTTTGCTCTCGCTCTCGGGGTCAGAAAAGGCGGGGTCGGAGGTAGGATCTCCTCTGGCGTTTTCAGCAAACATTTTTTGAGTGTCTATGTACTGCAGTACCCCTCCCAAGCTCTGGGAGATGCCATTCAACCTAGGGCTCGCGGAATGCTGGTGTGCAGGCGAGTTTTGTCCAGAATTCCGTGAGGACGACGTAAGCAAGGAAGGATGCTGTGGAGTAGAGCTTCGAGACCCTGTGGAGTTGAACAAGCTTCCCGAACTGGATACTTCCTCCATAGCTACACTGTCAGAAGCCGGGTTCAATGGGCCGGGGCTATTTGAAACAATCCCGCCAACTGGTGCAGAGCCAGACATGTAAGAAAAACCTGGGTAATGAGGAATGAAGAAAATGAGATATAGCAATAGCACTTAGAATTATATACCACCTTACCGGGCTTTATAGCCCTCTCAAAACGGTTTACAAAGTCAGCATGTTGTCCATAATGATCTGGGTCCTCATTTTACCCCCCTCGGAAGAATGGAAGGCTGAGTCAACCTTGAGCCTGGAGAGATCTGAACTGGCAAATTGCAGTCAGCAGAAGTAGCCTGCAGTACTGCGCTCTAACCACTGCACCACCGCGGCTCACATCAGGGGAAGTAGGTTAATTGTTTTAGCCAATCTTAACATTTATGTTTATTTAATAAATATATATGCTGCCCATCTCTCCAATAAAGCAACTTTGGGCAGCTTACAAATCGTAGAAAAGATAAAATAGAAAAGCAGTTAAAATTTTAAAACTATGCAACTTAAAAAAATTAAAAGTATGCAAATTAAAAAATTAAAACTGTGCATATGAGTTATCTTATAAAGGAGTTGGGGGCATAAAAAATAATAAATAAAATAAATGCATATATGTTGCTCTGTACATTAAGATCTTCAACAAAGGTTCTTTACAGATATTCCTGGCATTAGAGGGTCATTAGAGGCTAAATCCTGGAGAAATAGCTTTCTTCAAGCTATTTACAATGAATATGAGACATTCTCTCCAAAGTGGATCCCTTGATCCCTCCAGCCTTCTCAAACCCTCCTACTGTAAGCTGGAAAGCAGCAGTGGGAAAGGAAGGAGCTCACCTGAGGTAGCCAAGGTCAGTGGCTTGTTACCAGCAGCAGTGCTAATGCTGTTATGAGAACTAGCACCAAATTGTTTTTCAAGTGTTGAAAAGGAATCGCGGTTCTGATGGACAGGGCTAGGTGTGCTTCTCTGGAAGAAGAAAGGGAGAAAAAGGAGACGGTTGGAAAAGGAAGCATAATAAAATTAACTTTGGTTAAAACAATAACTTTTTAAAAATTACTTCGCTTGGGTAAGATTATGGGCTGCTGGTAAGTAGTAGTCAGAAAGAAAGTAAAACATAGTTTCATTCAGACATCTGTTTTTCCAGGAGGACCCGTTTCTCTCTGCAGATAATAGCAGCCGTTTTAAACCCTGTCAAACTATTTATCCATCCCAGTTGTCTACTCTGCTTAGCAGTCATTCTCTGCCCATCACCCATGACCTAACATTCTAGCCCCCGGATTATATATGGTCACATCTTTTTTCGAAGCCCTAAAGAGACCCTCTAACTATGAGGGCCAAAAACTAATGGCATGGCTTCCCATCATACTGAGGCTGCGCACAAATAAATGCTAGAGGGTGTCAAAGTCGATTTCATTGAGGGCCGCCTCAAGGTTGTGTTTGATCTTAGGGGGGGGGGGGGGGGCAGCATGGACATGGCCAGGTTGATATCCCTCGTGTTTTATTTATTTATTTATTTTATTTTACTTTATTTGTATGCCGCCCTTTTCCCTGAAAGGGACTCAGGGGGTGTTGGGGGTGCCTGTGGTGGCCTGAGTGCTCTGCCAGCAAAAACGGTCTCCCAAGCTCTGTTTTTGGCTGCCACGGCCTCCTACAACCGTTTGCAATGAAAACGGAGCTCCGTTTTCATTGGCAGAGGGTTGCGGGAGGCTGTGGCAGCTGAAAATGGAGCTTGGGAGACCGCTTTCACTGGCAGAATCACCACAGGCCAGTCCTTCACTGTTTTCAGGGTGGCCCCGTGGGACAGATCTAAGTACCCCGCAAGCTGGATCTGGCCCATGGGCCTTGAGTTTGACACCCCTGCGCTAGAGTGTCAGCCCTTAATAGCAATTACATAATTTAAGAAGCAAAAGAACGCATCCAAACTTTGGAAAAAACATGGAAATATCAGGGTGTGCTCACTATAAAGCATTGTTCCATGCACTTCTGCCCTCATTCTTTAAAAAATTTTAAGTGCAATCCAGAGCCGTTAAAGGATTGCCTATCCTCATCCTAGTCATTGAAGTCAGGACTGAACCTGGGATGTCCTGTATGCAAAATTTGTGCTTAGTCATTCAGCTACAGCTGTTTTATCTAGGAAAGACAATAGTCTACACAATCCATATCACCCACAAGGTTATATTCTGATTCACGCACCAAGTATTTAAACTAGCCTTTATTCAAATAGTTAGGTTCCCCTCGCATATATGTGCTAGTCGTTCCCAACTCTAGTGGTGGTGGTGCTCATCTCCGTTTCAAAGCTGAAGAGACCGCGCTGTCCGAAGACGTCTCCGTGGTCATGTGACTGGCATGACTAAACACTGAATGCTGTTACCTTCCTGTCAAAGGTGGTTCCTATTTTTCTACTTGCATTTTTACATGCTTGCTAACTGCTAGGTTGGCAGAAGTTGGGACAAGTAATGGGAGCTCACCCCATTATGCAGCACTAGGGATTTGAACCACCGAACTGTTGACCTTTCTCATCGACAAGCTCAGCGTCTTAGCCACTGGCCATCTCATCCCTGATGTAAATAGTTACTTTATTCAAATAGTTACAGCTTGACAACTTCAACAACAAAATCAGAAGCTAGAACAAAACTGCTCAAAGTAGCTTAAGTGCTGGACACAGATTTAACCACTTCCTCTTATAGCACATGTATAGAAAGCAAATAAATATATTGGATAAATGAAAAATATGAGAATGATTTAAAAAAAAGAAAAAAGGTGTAATTTCTTAGGAATCAGTTATCACATATCAACTTAAAAAGATTTTTGAAGTGGTTTAGTAAGTTCTGTTAAGCAGCAACAAGAAATAGAATCATATGGTCTAGTGCAGGGGTCGGCAACCCGTGGCTCTGGAGCTGCATGTGGCTCTTTCATCCCTCTGCTGCGGCTCTCTGTTGCCAGTTGGCTCCACAATGGATAGGGCTTTCGGTTAGGACAGGTAGGAGGAGACTCTATGGTGGGAGAACTGGATTTCCGACCGTCTCCAGAATTGAATGGGGGGCTTCCAGTTACGACCTTTGTGGCTCTTTGAGTGTTTAAGGTTGCCGACCCCTGGTCTAGTGGTTAAGGCACCGATCTAGAAACTGGGAGACTGTGAGTTGCAGTTCTGCCTTAGGGATGAGAGAGGCTGGGTGACTTTGGGCCAGTCGTTCTCTCTGAGCCCCAACCCACCACACAAAATTGTTGCGGGGAAAATAGGAGGGGAAAGCAATATTAGGTATATTTGCTGCCTTGGGTTATTTGTACAAATAATAAAAGTGGGATAAAGATAAATAGATAAATAAAGTACCCGAGGGAAGCATGCTCCCTTACCTTGCACCGCACTTAAATAATGCTATTAAATTCATTGTAATATGGTACAATTGTCTTTACGGCAAGGACTATGGGGGAAAACAAAGTACCCCTACTCACCACCTTCTCAACACGGCTAGGAAGGACTACGCTGGCCAAAGGAATACTAACAGGGAGTTTATTGGGCTGCACTGTGCTGAGGGGGATACTGATGGGAAGGCTGGTGATGGTCTCCCCATTATTCGCAGACGTCCTCTCGCGCAAAGCCTGCAAACACACAAAGCAGACAAAGCCAAAAATGCAGCTTGCATCATCAGCCAGAGCTTCTGGGCCGTGGCTGTCGGCCAGAGTACTTGGTGCAAGGAGGCGTCCTGAAGAATTGCAAGCATTTCCCCCACCCGTCAAACAAATAAACAAAAAACTTTCTTACAGATGCAGACAAGGTCAATTGCCTCAGCCAGCCAACATAGACACACACACACACATACCACACAAACAGTTCATGTTTTATTTAATGATCTAATAGGGAAACATAACCGCAATGGTGTCGCTCGCCCAACTAAAAACACTTACCGCGCCAAGTATTTATACTTAGCAGCTGTGTTTGGGATTGCTATGGTGCATGAGGAAATATTTCCACAACCTTGTGTCACTATGGCAAAGTATATATAGTAAATTTACAACTAAGTCATACTGCACAATAGATGGTTCGCCTTTTCTCCAAACTTATGCCCTTCAGTTGGGATCACAACCCATTGATTTATGCCAACTGGGAAATGCAGTTCTAACGACTCTCCAGGCTGTGAAAGTCTGAGCAAGCTATTATTGACTGCCGATTGAATAATAATAATAATAACAACGCATATACAGCGCAGAATACTATTTTAGCTTTGATCAGGACACAAAGAGCGAGAATGTAAGTCTGAGGAATACTCTCTACTTTCCCTGGTTACATTAGCCATAAGGTTTGTATATGTGTACATACAGGCTATAAATACAGGTAGCCCTCGACTTATGACCACAACTGAGGCCAAACTTTCTACTGTTATGTGAGAGATTTATTAAGTGAGTTTTTCCCCATTTTATGAACTTTATTGCCTCGGTTGTTGAGTGAATCACTGCAGCTGATAAGTTAGTAAACTGGTTGTGAAGTGAATCTGACTTCCCCATGGCCTTTGCTTGTCAGTAGGTCACGAAAAGTCACTAAACTAACTGTTGCAGGTTGAGGACTGCATGTCTCTTTGAAAAGGATTTGCTCCTTCTGCAGACACAAGCACAGCACCCCTTTTCTGCTTTTTAAAGTAGTCCAACTAGTTTTTGGTTTTTTTGTGCAAGCCTGAAAAAAAGGCCAACTCTTCTCTCTGGACTTTTAGGAATATTGTGGTGCAGTTTGCAATTTTAAAAAATGGGTAAGTTATTTTGTAAGTAACTTACAAAAAAGGATTCTTGAGAATCCTGTAATCTTTACACTATTACAAAAAATAATTTGCAAAACTCTGATATTGCATGGATTTTAAAAATGCAAACAGAAGATTTGCCAAGCAATAAGAAAGCATGAGAGGACAAAATTATTGTCCAAAACAAAGAGGCGATTAGAGTTAGAAAACAGCAATTCTTTTAGGTCTATGTATGATTGCCTACATAACCAGACCCTACAATGGAATGGCAAACTTAGTTTTAAGGGAATTCAGATTTCCATTATGTGAATTATGGTCAAGAAAATATTAATTTCATGTTGTAATCACACAGTCACTTGATAGCAAGATAGGTGGCATATAAATTCAACAAACAAACAAATAAATTATTCTAGAATGGTGAATTTATAGCCCAAACACTATCACATGTTATAGCAAGCAAGTGAAGAATGCTGGGAGTTATAATTCATCAACTAATGGAGGAATTGGTTCCTAAATAAAAGGAAACCATGGAAGGGAAGGGATGGGAACTAGATCTGATCTCACACTGCCCATCACACAGCTGTGCTTTGGAGTTCATGAATTTATCTGCACCTGTTTCTACAACAGTGCATCCGATTTAAATAGTAACGCCATCATGTTTACTTTAATTTGCAAACAAATTATGCCTCATTTTTTAATCAAGCCTGATTACAATTTGGCGCTCGGTTATGAAGCCCATTTAAATTTGAAGGAGATGCAAAACAAGACATATTCTCTTCCTCTTCCACACCTCAAGAATAGGCATTGTGTAGGTTCGTAAAACATGATTAAGCAGCAGACAAATGTATTTCACACTAGGAATTTTAAATATTGGGACTTTAACCTGAGTTTTTTTTTAAGTCCAGCAGTACAACAATGTTTTTTTTCTCCATCTCATTTTGGCTGGAAAAAATACCGATCAGACTTGCACACAACTCTATCAGTAATCCTGGTTTAACAAAGTATCATAAACTTAATAAACTAATAGTGTGCTTGCTGCGCACAGTTCATTTGGTCCCACATTGTATCTAAACCTGAAATTAATAAAATTAAATCATAATTACAAAATTTTAGTTGAGATTAATGTTATCATAATCTCAGGTCAAGACGTGACTCAAGGTTTCTCCGTTTTGATTGCTACGCCTTCCAATACTGGTTTATTTACTACAATAGCAAATTGTTACAGTACTTGCATCAATGCACTGTTCATAATCTGATTTATTTCTAATTGAGTGTTATGGATAAATACAGAAGTAACTGTATTTGTGTTGGTTCAAAATGCTACAGGTAATCTCAACTTACAACTGTAATGGAACCTGCTCATTGGTTGTAAGTCACGATGGTGGTGACTGATCCTTATGACAGTCATTAAGCAAATGCAGTGGCCGTAAAGCAAATCTATTATCCTCTATGGAGCGTTTTTGTGAAAAACACAGTTACGGGTCTGTGGGATATTGCAAAGGCCATAAATACAAGCCAGCTGCCGAAGGTCTGACGTGCATTCATGTGACTCTGGCAAAGAGGCTGTCAGAACTATGGAACCGGGTCGTAGAATGGGCTTTTTGGAAGTCCATTCTAACTTTAAATAAATGGTCCTAAGCAATTGGTCATAAATCGAAGACTACCTGTATTTGGTTTTTCTACTCAGCGATTTTTTTCTGCACCCCCTAAGTGATATTAATTTTCAACCCTTAGCATGCTCTCCATTTACACCAAGAGTTCCCACACAGTCGCTGCTGCTCAGTACAAGAACTGGCCCGAGATTGTTCTGAGGCATCGTCCAAAAATTCCTTACCTTCTCATTCCCAGCTGGGAAGACTGCTGGGGAAGAGGGCCGAGCTTCCAGAGGGCTCATCTTCATGCCGTTTGATACTGAAGGGCTTGGAAATGTAAGGCCATTTTCTTTTAAATGTTCAGCCCTGAAACATTAAAAAAAGCACAAGTTTTTGAACGTTTCTGCTTCGTTAAAAAGAAAGATTTTTGCATCCTATAGCGGGAAACAAATGCAGAGGAAGCCCCTCTTCCATGTGTCAGAAAGAAAGATTTCTGTTAGGATATTCATGACTGGGAGAGACATGGTAACAAGGTCAGCCAATGAATAGGCATGGCAGCTAAGTCAGCCAATGGGAGCTTAAACAGATCTGAGTCTGTGCTGAGAATTGAAACTGAAACAAGATTGATCCTGTCTGCTCTGAATTCTGAAATA